TGGAGGCTGATTAAACATTATTGTTAATCTCAAAGCAATGTACAACAAAGCAATCTCATCTTTTGCCAAAACGGATGGTGCTAAGCTTTGGTTCAAGTTGCAACATTACCATTATCTCCAACTGTTGGCTTCTGTCTCCACATATTTTTTGGCACCAATCTGGGCGAGTCATGCTCAAACTATACTGGCTTTTATTAATAGCATTGGCCCCTTGTACTTTGCTCCTTCCCCAGAGCGCATACCCCTCCCCTCGCTCCCCTCGCTCCCCCACCTCTCTCATGCACACTCTATTCGGTACACACAGTCACATTTAGGAATCCGCGGCCTGGAAGGCAGTCAACTTTCATTAATTTCTGGGTTTGGGTACAGTACAGTGTGTTCCTGGACTCACATCTGCGAGCGATCATAAATGCTGGAATGCTTGGCAGAACATCCAGACCTGCCGGCACAAATATGTCGTCATCGGTGGTGCTGCAGTGGCGGAGGGGATTGGGCCAAAACAACACGCAAAAAAGGGAAAAGAAGGGAACAGCTGAAAGCCAACAGCCCAGGGAGGAAACGTGTATGGAGCAATGTTATGGGATGTTACGGCATCAGAGTGGAGTGGGGAAAAGGCAGGGGAATTTCACTTGAGTAATTGTTGATAATTTGTATTTTATCAACAACTATTTCAGTTCTCAAATAATCACTAACTGCCCTAAAATATGAATATGCAACAAATAGGTTAATTCAGAAATTGTATGTGAAACAGACAAAAGGTGGAGGTCTGAAACTTTAAAAGAGAAAGATGAATACTAAAATCACAAACAGAAATAATTAAAAGAAAAGATTCAAAACATGAATCGTTTGTGGAAAGTGAAGTCGCTGTATAGAAAGAGCGTTGAAGCTAATCTGAGGCTTAAATAAATGTATCTAGCTGCTATTAGCATTATAATTTTGTTATTACTTCAAATTGTAAAGTGGTTCTTAATCTGGATCACCTTTAAATCAAATTTCTAAACTAATCAACCATCAGATCAGTGGCTCTATGCACCACTTAAGGTTTGTAACTGCATGTGGCCGCTTTAGAAGCTAACCTCAGGGGTCACCTTTTAGCTAGTTCTGAACGTTATAGTTTGACAGAACAGAAGGGAATTGCTGTGAATGACTTTTTCAAATAATGGGGAAATATACAGATTATAAAGCAGTATGTGAAATTCATGAGTTTCAGGTTTAAGGATCGTTCTTGAGCGATGACGCTTTACCCTTCATAATAATAATAACAGAAATGTCTACCCTGAAATCTTACTTTTTGTCTTTACACCGTAATATATTTCTAGCAATTTTACCAAACAACGGTGAACATGACATACAGGATTTCATAAATACAGGGTGTTTATAGTGAATTGAAAATGACAATACACCAATGTTTTAAGAGTAAATAATCACAGACTTCATTATAAGGACACCAACACTTTGAATGAACTTTGAGGGGAAGCTTGCCCGAGTGCCAAAATGTAAAAAGGTGTACACAAAATCATGCAACCAATGTGCACAGATCTTTGTCTCTGGTTCGTCTCGTCCTCGAAGTTCACCTGGGAACTTTTTGAATCAGGAGGCTCCACCCAAGTCCAACTGCAGGCACAGAACGGCTCACTAGACAGAGGCACACCTTCTATCAATTATGAAAACAACATTAATAAAGTTGTATTAAAAGGGCACTTTGTCACAAGTTTTGAATCTGTTTTTGCCAATAATTGAATAAAAGAATTCTGCTCTTTAGTGAACACGGAATTCCCACCACATCTGCCACAGAAGGAGAACTCCCTTTACTTCCCCCTGAGACTTCTTGTGTCAGAAATGTGAACGTAAAGTTGGCGTAGCATGCTATAACAAAGGCTGCTATATTCACTGAGCGTTGGGAACCGAGCTAGCATACCGAAGCAAACCGTGTGACAAGCCACGCGATGCCGTCTGTGAATGCAAATCTTAGGCCAGGATACAACAGAGCAAGTCTGATTTAGATTTGCGCTGATCAATGTGTTTATCACAAAACAGCAAACAATCCGATTTCGAATCTGCATCACTGTCCAAACTACGACCCACAAATTAAGACATGTCCTGAAAGCTTTTGCTGAACTTCTTGGCCTAAATATAATTTGTCTATGCTAAAAAGTACAAAGTATGATAGTAAATTGAATTGGCTACAACAGTAGGCCGAGCCAAGCGTGAAAATCTCAACTACAGAGAACCACACAACAGAGGACATACTGTTGACCGTACAACATCACGGCGGACCTTGATGAAGACACTGACTTTACTCGACCATCTCTGTTTGAAAAACCCGGAGCGCTGTTGTTGTGTTTGTCTGTCTGCGTCTGGAATTCACTTTATTTTCTCCTGTGGGTATTTTGTCTTGGACTCAGGACAATTGCCACATACTGTCACAACAGCAAAAACCTTCAACAACTACAAAAACAACTTACAACAATGATAACAACTAGAAGGTGCTTGAGATGATTATATTTGAATGTTCCTGACGGCAACCTGTATACATGAACTTAGAAGCAAGGCTAACCACTTTAAACTGGTATGATCCGACACCTGTATTCATGGACTTATCTCTTCTAACTTGTTTTCATGAACCTAGAAGCGTGGCTAACCCCTTCAGACTTCTATTCATGAACATAGAATGATGGCTAACAACTTTACACCTGTATTCATGCACTTAGAAGCATGGCTATCTTCAACCTAACATCACGTTAATGACAATTTTGAAGAAACTTTGTGGTTCATGCTCGGTTGTTGTAACTAACCGTGTAAAAAAGATATTTGCTGAGTACAAAATTGCGTTACTTGCTACCTATACGCACAACCTACAGTCTGTGCGTGCATGTGTGTGCGTATGTGTGTGCACAGATGTGAGTGTGCGTCTATGTTGTGAGTGTACAGTAAACATGGGATTATCCGTGGGGAGCAGAGAGGCAGTCAGATGAAATAAAGTTGGTTGGTTTGCGGCTGTGTAGGGGACAGGATAATCTTATCAGGGCAGATGTTGTGCGCTACACTATTACCACGGCACAGGGTTGGCCGGGGCTCATGGGCAAGACAAGGGGACACCGGGACAAGCAGCAGGGAGCGAAGGTCAGCTTTAAGAATGAGAAAACAAAACCGTCCACATTAACATCTCCCACAATAACAGGTCTATTCCTCCAACATTGCATCGATCTTTTTGTCTGCTATAACCTGAGAATAGTCGATTCATTCAAAGGAGACATATAATGAAACTTCGACCATATTACAACATTGTTCCTTTATGAAAAATATACCTCAAGTAGTTTTTATGTTTTTGTATTAATTAGAGCTATCTTAATGTGATTAAGGTCAGAGGGTTAATTAGGGCTATGGTGGGAGCATGAGGAGAGGCTGCAGTTTGCCATTTGCTTGGTCGATAAACACCACTAAAATGCTTTTTTGTTTGGACATTTTGTTTTCTCTCCCCTGTGCAAAGCCAACCTGAAAACGTCTAGAGTGGCCTTTTGATTTATTTTGGTTTAAGTTGGACAAGGTTTAAGTTATGGACACTTAAACCTATATCAGGCACCTATATATACAACACCAATATGAGGAACTTCTGGCACAAACACGTAACGCTGTCTCTTCTGTGTAAGTCAATGTGCCATTATAACACAGTGCATGATATTTCTTCTTGGGGGAAAAAACAATTTCAATATCAGCAATGATCTTACAAATGAACAGAATCTTTTCACTTCCATGTCAGGAATTGTTAGGGCAACGGCGACTTCTTTATACAGATCTGTCATATTTCTCTCAACATTTCATTTAGATCTAGAATAAAGTTTAAAAAAACTTGGCAATCTCTTGTGTGTTCTTTAGAGCCACAGTATATGCATCATCTGGAATGTGTAAAAGCACCTGTTCTAATCCATGGAGATAAACCAAACTATTGATTCCATGGAAAAAGAGTGTGTGTGTGTGTGTGTGTGTGTGTGTGTGTGTGTGTGTGTGTGTGTGTGTGTTTGTTTGTTTGGTCACAGACTCTCGTCCTCCTTCACCTTGTGTCCGTCTGCACCCATAGAGCCGTTTGTCAAACATTACACAGCAGAGACTGGCTGGCATGCGCTCCACTGTACGTACTGTACCCTGAGGCGGCACGCGGCCCGGGCTGGAGGCGAGCCAGGAAGTGTGTGTGTGTGTGTGTGTGCGTGTGTGTGTGTGCGCGTATGTGTGTGAGTGACTACACAGATTGCGAGTGCTTAAGTTTTCAACATGGAGATAGCTCCAGGGGAGTTTTTTATTGATTAATTTGCAGTTTCATCTTAGATCCAGGTTGACATTGACATTTCATCAGGATAAACAGGATATTTTAATAAAAGCTCGGGTTACTAATTTTCAAACTGGAAAAAATGAAATATGTGTGTAAATCCATGTAACTGCAGTTCCTTGCTCTCAAAACCAAAATCTGGGTCTATCATAAGTTTCACCTTGTTTGGCCTCTGTCACATGTATAGTGAAGAAGAGAGTCAGCCAATCAAGCTCCCTGCCCAAAGCATCAAATAGTGACTCACAGGGTTCTTACAATATGCACAATGTTTTCAGCATGTTGTGGACTGATAAACGCACAACATCTGTTTTGATCTCAAAAAGCATGTTAAAAATGTAAAATGTGTCAAATGTATTAACTTGTGTTTCATTTTAGAATCAGCTTTTACTAGTGGCCATTGTTATGTTATGGTCCAATCCTTCCTGATCAGTGCCCCCTGACAATGTTTATTTAGAATCTCTTCAATCTCATTTACATAACCATGCACCACATTCAAATACAACTGTGATATTTGCAAAGAGGTCGTACCTAATCTCTTTTTGAAAGCTCACTTTTCCCACCGTCTGCATATGCACAAACAAGGTTCCACTGCTCCACTGTAGGTATTGCTTTAGATAAGCCCTCCGTTTAACAAAGAGACAGAGCAGCGGCAGTAGCGTCTGACACCAAACGCCTCATGCATACCAACAAGCCGGACTCATCTCTCCGCCAGGACCCACAATTCTGCCCGCCTTCCTCAACCGTTTGGCGCGCAGGGTAATCAATAGTTGGTAAATTGCAAAGCCCTAAAATACTCTGCCTGTTCTATAAAGAGATAAATTGTAGTGGGGAGGCTAGAATATTAGCTTTGTGAGGCGTAGGAACAGAGGCTTTCATATGGAGACATCCAATATAAATGTACTTACTTTATGTTTTTAATTATTTTGCGATATTGTTCCTTCATCAAAAAACAGACCTGAACATCTGGCAAAAACATGTAATTGGTAGGTATTGGCATTGGCTTTGGTAATTTCTTAGGTGAAATGACAATCACATGTCTTGTTTGCGGCTGGTAATTTAAAAAACAATATATATGCATTTCACTACAGGGCAGGCAAATCGCATGTTTTACCCTTTTACCAAATATTATCGACTTTGAGATATTATTTCACAGATTAAAGGACAAAGTAAATAGTCTCATTTTTAAACATAGCCAAAAATAACATGCTTTATGCAGCTTTTTGTGTGAGAAAAAGTGTATATTTTTGCATACTGGACCTTGTAGTGACAATGGCTGTATGAGTGGCCAGCATGGTGCCTTTACTTTTCATTCCAGGGGTCTCCATGATGCTTTAGGATCAACTTCAGCAGAGAAAACCTCCACATTAATCCTGGAGCAATGTAGACACAAGCGTGATCAAAAGTAAAGGCCCCGTGCGGCCCACTGTTACAGATACGCAAAACATTTTTAAAACATAGGGTTCCATAATGCACCTTGAAGTAGGTTCACACTGTATGTTTGTATGTTGATTTAGAAACTGGTTCATCAGGTCTCCCTTGAAAAATACTTGATCTCATGGGACTTCACTAAACCAAAGTGATAATCCTCAAAATGTGCATGTTTCGAATAAGAATAATTACATAATTGCATAAAAACGATGCTAAAAACTCACTAAACATATTGTATTTTGGTTTATGCTTTTGACCCTGACTTGTGTAAAGGAAGTTCTAGGAGTATAGGAGTGCTGACAAAACCTTCTGGAAAGAGTGTGGTCCAGAGTGTGGTCCAGAGTGTGGTCCAGAGTGGGGTCCAGAGTGGGGTCCAGAGTGGGGTCCAGCGTGGGGTCCAGAGTGTGGTCCCGAGTGTGGTCCAGAGTGGGGTCCAGAGTGGGGTCCAGAGTGGGGTCCAGAGTGTGGTCCAGAGTGTGGTCCAGAGTGTGGTCCAGAGTGTGGTCCAGAGTGGGGTCAAGAGTGTGGTCCAGAGTGGGGTCAAGAGTGTGGTCCAGAGTGGGGTCAAGAGTGTGGTCCAGAGTGGGGTCCAGAGTGTGGTCCAGAGCGTGGTCCAGAGTGGGGTCCAGAGTGGGGTCCAGAGTGGGGTCCACAGTGGGGTCCAGAGTGTGGTCCAGAGAGGGGTCAGAGTGGGGTCCAGAGTGGGGTCCAGAGTGGGGTCCAGAGTGGGGTCCAGAGCGGGGTCCAGAGCGGGTTCCAGAGCGGGTTCCAGAGTGTCGTCCAGAGTGGGGTCCAGAGTGTGGTCCAGAGTGTGGTCCAGAGGGTGGTCCAGAGTGTGGTCCAGAGTGGGGTCCAGAGTGGGGTCCAGAGTGTGGTCCAGAGTGTGGTCCAGAGTGTGGTCTAGAGTGGGGTCCAGAGTGTGGTCCAGAGTGTGGTCCAGAGTGTGGTCTAGAGTGTGGTCCAGAGTGTGGTCCAGAGTGTGGTCCAGAGTGTGGTCTAGAGTGGGGTCCAGAGTGGGGTCCAGAGTGGGGTCCAGAGTGGGGCCCGTTAAAAAGGAGAACATTATTGCGCCCGGAACATTCTTCAGTTCTATTCATTTACATGTACATCAAGCTTTGACGGAAATAGCTTAAAAATTATGGCATGTTATACATTATGTTAACCATATCATGTGTACAACCATATCTTGAATTAATATCTTCCTGAAAATGTGAGACAGGCTTCTACTCAGACAAAATCCAAATCCAGGTTAAAAACTGTTCTATTCAACTGAAAAACATGAAAAATTATGAAGGGAATTAAAGAATGCACTGTGATTATTATTGCTTTTACTGGTTTTACGATAAGGTTTCTGTTTGTGTTTTCTTGTATTGTATATGCCTTAACATTGAACCCAAATTAAATGAATTAGTAATAGTTACTTGAAAAAAATAATATTTGGTCTCTCAGTCTACAATAAAAATGCTTTAATTTTGGTACATCTCTGGCTCAATCCACATAACTCATTGTGTTCTGAAAAATATACATGAAGAAATAATACAAACACATGTTACATTAAAGTTATAGTCAAAATACTGGAGCAAAAAACAACTCCAGGTCTGTTTTAGATGAGGGCCATTCTTTAACTGTTTGTCTTGAGCAGGACTTTATAAAAACTCACATGTTTGGATTTTGAAACTGTCTTTTGTCTTAATGACGCACACAAGTCTGCTGAGGATCCAATAAAATTTCATACATTTAACAAGACAAAAGCGGTGCATTCTTCAACACTTAATCTCAACAGCCAATGGAGCTGAAAAAATATATAAACAGAAATTCAAACAGATTTGTCAAGATGGCAGACGTGAAGGAGAAGAGGGTTCGTGACTCGTTCAAGTGTCATTATTTCAGACAAACAAGCGATAAAGGTATGAACAAAAACACAAGAAAAAACTCCTTGAAAGTCAAAATGTCGTCGCTGCAGAGGAGTTTCAAAGAGGGTATGAAAACGCCAAAGCGCGACAGAGCGATGTCGAAAACTACAAAAGGACTTGTCTTTCCTCCTAACCGTCTAGTTGTGCCTGCTCGCCTCGCCAGACCAAAGTGTCTACGAAACAAGAAAAAAACTGGATTAAAAAAAAAAATAGAAAGAACTTTGTGCACTGGCTCCGTCGCTGGTTGCTAAAAATACGCTGCCCACATCTTCCGCCTGGCTGCGTCTCACAAGGTAGTGGTGGAGCGAGAGGAAAGGGGGAGAGGGGTTCTGGGTGCACACATTTACAAGCTTTTTTTCTGTATGATGTAATCCAAGTTAAAACGTACCAACTGTCACCGTGCGTTAAAGCTGGGGTCACTTTATTCACAAGTAATACATTTATCCCATTGTCCAAACTGATTCTTGTAAAAGCGAAATGTTGTGATCCAATCAGACCACAACAAGGCATCTTTATCTTGTTGGGAAACATTTTAAATTAGGCAAACTTGTAAGAAAGAGCCTTGTGACTGTTTGATGCTTTGGAATGAGAGCTGGTGTGTCCTCTCTTTTTCACTTCTCGGTTTGAAAAAGCTTATGTATCGTCGTGAGGTCAAAATGAAATGCATTATTGACCAAAAACTCTACGTCAGAGCACATATAAACCAAGGAACTAAACCCACATATTTCCATCAGTGCAACATTGTCAATCAGTGTGACAAATGTTATTCTGCATCACTTTTGATAAGGAGGCTATAGCCCTGCTGGGAGTGTGCCCTAAGTCTGTGGTACCCAATCCCCAGTCCAACGGACCAGTACCGGGCCGAGGGTCATTCAAGAGCTCGAATGGATTTAAGCAGAAATCAAGATAACCAGAGGAGCCAGGACCAGGAGCATACACAGCCGGGGCAGAGCTGAGGCCAAAATAACAGTTACTTTATCAACAAGCAAACATGCGGAGCTAGGCTAATACAACATGAAAACACAGCACTGCGTCCTGCGTCACCACCACAATAAGAAAGCAGAACATTGAAACTCTCTTGCTGTTGATAAACTGTATTTAGGCGATTGTTTAGTGGGGCATTCTGTGTGTTTTGTGAAGAACGTTACACATTTCACAATAAATGTCAAAATCATGTGCCAAAAAGAGGAGAAAAAAACGTAGTAAACCAAACATGGATCAATCCTATTGCAAACTAAAGCGAATAAAGTAAGTAATCTTTGTTTCCATCGCGCATCTTACCGACTAAATCACACAAACATTACATTTTTGTTGTACCAGTAATTTCCATTCACTTCACACCTGAAGATTGACAGAAGCGAGACGCCGAACACACTGAGGCATCGAAGCCTCTGACCATCCCCACCCAATCATTCATTACATTCAGATCTGTTCTACATGTTTTAACGGTAGGAGAAACCGGAGCACCTGGAGGAAACGCACACACAGAGAGATCATGCCTGGAGGTGGACTATAACCCAGGACCCTTTTGCAGTGAAACACTAACGCTAACCACTGCGCCAACGTGCAGACGAAAGCTCAGTATTAAGTAAGTCATCTTTTTATAGCATCTCACCTTTCACAGTCCAGAGTCACAACGCGCTAAACAATTGGTGTGGGCATTAATTGACCAACTAACGACTAATTTATCCTACAGTCCTAAATGAATCGTTAATCATACAATATTGAGTGGGTAGTTTGTCACAAAGGACAGAAAGTTCAAAAAGTTGTTACTAACCTACTTTTTTATTTGGCTTTATATTTGGCATTATGAAAATTCTCTAACAAAGGCTTTCATTCCAAAACACATACAAAATGTATTTACAGTAGCTAAAAAAAAACGTTTTGCCATTTCTATTTACGTGCTACCCACTCATCACCCCAAACACCAAGGATTTAGTGGGGTACACAGAACGTGGATGCATAAATATTAAAATGTGTATTTTGATAAAGCCATTTGAAAGCCCTAACACGTCCAAAACGCCCGCGCCTGATCCATTTGAGGAAACCATCTTTTGTGTTACCAGCTTTTACACGTCGCGTCAACGTGTCAGTCCGGCCTGTGAATGTGTGCAACAGGGGGCCGCTGAAAAAATACGGAGAAAAGCCAAACGAAAACATGGGTGTAATTTTAAAATAAACAGTAAACATTTCCTGGGAGCGATTTTTGTTTTTGACACACTGAGCCATGCGCTGAGCCGATTGAGCGGCGCAGCGGGGGTCCGTCATTCATCTCTGTCACGCCGGAGCGCCCGTGTCAATGTGCGAGCCTGTCATTGTTTCAAATGTGTGCCGAGATGGGGAGAGGAAAAGAAGTGAACAGAGACAAACAAATGATCCTGCCAATTATTGTGTCTCTCTGGGCTGTCCCTGAGCATTGTCGGAAATATGAGAGTCTGGAAGGGGTGTGCGCACGCCGGGAACAGGGACAATTGAAATCTAGCAGCTGCGGAAAGAGCTCCAGTCTATTCCATGTGTCAAAGGAAAGTGGTAGAAACGTTTTACATGTGTTCAAAAGTACTGTGAAAGTACCAATAGTTTTTGCGGCAAATATTTACTCCATAACAGGTTAGATTGCCTGTAAACTATAATAGAGTAATGCCGTTTTTGAATCAATTCAACTTTGAAGCTGGTGAACCTAACTTTTCTCCCAATAATAATACATTTTGTTTGTCAGAAAGTGAACAAATCAGTCCTCAACATGCCTTCTTCATCTTAACATCAAAATAATTTAATGAAAGAGCCCTGTGAGTCACTATTGGACGCTTTGGGCTAAGTGGGTGAGTGGTTTTTTCACTTTTCTGTGTGAAAAAGCTGATTAAAAAACATGTGACAGAAGCCAAAAAGCACAAATGCTAGAAAAAACTATCATTGAGCCTTGTTTATAACAGTTATATTTTTGTGGTTTTAAAGTTAGGTACCCAAGCTTTAAGTACAGACAGTAAAGTAATGTCTATTTACCAATGTTTGCTACTGGATTATTTCTACCACATCGCTGCGGAATAAACATTTGATACACTTTTAAGGAGTCAACATACTTTCTTTCTTACTTTTTTACTTCTCAAATGGAGGGATCACATCTAAGGAGTTGGAACCCTTTTCCCAAAGAAACATTAACTCAAAGAGGACAACATTGAAGACAACATTGAAGAAAGAATCCAACTCTTATGACCTCATCTATCCACTTTGAATGAAAACTGATGGCAGTATATGGAAAAGCACACTGGGAATCCTGATTGTCAGCTCTTGTATGTGTAATCTTAGCTGAGGCATGAACTCAGAGCGAACGGACTCAAACTGGGAGTCAGCCAAACTCTATACGATCCAATAGCCAACACAGACACTATAAATACAATGTTCCAGCGTAAAGAACATACACAGGCTCATACCAGCCCTGCACATGGAAACACACGCTCTGGAAAACTTCTGCGACTCAAAATCCATAGCCCACTAGTGTTAAAAAAAATTATAGAAGGAAAGCCATTGAATTTACTGCATTATATAGAAAAGATGTAAGATGCCGTTTGTAAAATATCTGTACAAGACTCTACTAGATCCAATTCCAATCAATGTTCCAAATCAAACAGCCCAAAACAGTTCATGTAAAAACTAGAAAAGCACTTGTAGAGCGCACACCTCCAACAAGAAACATTTATATAAATCATCAGTCAATGTTTTTGTCATTGTTGGAGGGAATTGGGAATATATTCAAGCGTTCTGTTAATGTATGTAAACAACTTCTCAAACAACAAAAGGAGATGTAGCACGGATGAGCATAGATGGGTGTGTTTGGCCTCACCTGAGTGGGACAGCAGGTGCATGCGCAGGCGGAGGCTGTCCAGGAAGCTCTTGCCACACAGCTCACAGCCGTACGTCTTCATGCCGCTGTGCATCTTCCTGCAAACGTAACAGAGAAAACGTCAGTGTTGAGATTGACATGTGTGAAAGAACGGGAAAAAAGGGAAGGGCGGTCCTAACAGGTAGAGATGGGACGAGGACCGAAGTAAAAGGTACAGTAGGAGGATTTTTCCAAATTTTAGGAAAGCACCGCCGTCTCCACAAAGACAAAAATAGAAAATCCCTCAGTTGTGTGCACAGCTAAACAGAACTGTTTTCAACCTGGATTTAAACATTGTCAAAGAAGAAGCCTGTCTCACATTTTCAGGGAGATTATTCCAGATTTTAGCAGCATGAATTCAGACTCTGAGCACTAACAGGAGTCCAGTCCCTGTGCTCCTCAGAGTCCCAGCAGGAGTCCAGTCCCTGTGCTCCTCAGAGTCCCAGCAGGAGTCCAGTCCCTGTGCTCCTCAGAGTCCGGGCTGGTTCATATGGGACTAACATGTCACTAATATATTTTGGTCCGAGGCCATGGAGAGACTTGTAACAAGCAGAGCTGTTTTAGAGTCTATTCTCTGAGCCACAGGAAGCCAGTGCAGAGACCTGAGGACTGGACTAATGTGGTCGTACTTCCTGGTTCTAGTCAGGACTCGAGTATCAGCAGAATGATTGACAATTGTGGGGACCCGGAAGTAGAAAATCCACCTGTATACCTTCAAGTTAACCCTTTAAGGATCACCTAATTTCGCCTGCTCCTTCTCGAATTATGATACTCAAATGGAAATGCTTATTGTGTGGACATCTTGTGTCTGATTTTGTGTTATGATGCCTCATTTGAAAGGTAACACCTTCTAGTTTCTGAAAATGTATGTTAGTTTGTTAGGAAGGACACAGTCTGCACTACACCTTCTCAAACATGAGTCGAAGTTAGTTTTTGTTGTCAAAAAAAAATAAGGCAATTTCAAAAGGTCCTCCTGAAGACATACTTTATGGTATGTTGTTCAAACTCACCAGAGCAGATTATTGTGGTGTTGGAAACACCTGTATGAAATTTTAGACCTTTAGGTGGAACTATTTTGATGCTGGGGGCTTTTTTGTAACTAATGGGCACATTCGGCACAAGTGGTCCATTTTTGTGCCAACTGTGCCAAAGTGTTTTACATGCAAATTATCATTGTTTTTACACCAAAAATCCATTTATATAATTTTTTGGCTATCAATCTAGCTATAAATAGGATTTTTTCCAGATATTGAAATGTTTGCAGAAAAGCTATTATTTATATAATTATAGCGCGTGTTCTCCGTGAAAAAGGCTCCGTCTTCATCTCTTACGCATTCAAATATGACGGGAACAGTGGGAGGAAGCTAGAAGTCCGACACATCGCCTGAAACCTGAGATTATTGGCTACAAGATGATTTGATTGACATCCAAATCGGCCAATGGTAGTCAAGACAATGCTGTCATGACGCACAATGAAATAAATGAAAAATAACTGATTCCTCCCTGTACAGGGGGGGTGATCCTTGCCACAACATCAGTGCAGTCAGTATGGACCAATGGCATTTATCTACAGTCATACATACATACATAGTTCTTGGGGAATATTGTACGCTCAAATACCAAGTTTGATTTATCATTGTAATTAATTTGCAATGTACCAACCACTGCATTCAGGTGATGTTCCTTGTGCATTTGATACAATATTAAAACGGGTCCAATCAATACTTTAAAATACCGTACTATCTGGACAAGTAAGCGCAACTGTACATAAGCCGTACCAAACTTTCTTTAAAAAAAACATTTTAAAAGAAAGTATATTTTGTTGACATACAGTATAAGCCGCACTTGAACATAAGCTGCAGGTTTTTCATGTTGTAATGTAGCAGATGGATGACCGTTTTAACTGGTCTCAGCATGATTTAATGACGAGCTTAACCGTTAGCTTACACGCCGGTAATCATTCACCAGTCTATTTTTGACTGTGTTTTTGACTGCGCTACTAAAACTTGTTAAAATAGTAAGTCTGTAAACTCTGCTCTGACAACAGCCCAACTCTACCACGATAGGAATACACAAGTCTTTTTCAATCAACAGCATTCAATTCAGTATTAACATAGACTATGACACACACAAAAAAGCATATTGTTCCAGCAGGAGCCCTTAAGCCGTAAAAGAAGTTGAACCTCACAAGGTCGAACCAAACGATTGGCCAATGTTTGATTAAGTGGCAAAGGCCTTGGAGGTTAGGCAACTAAATACTCCAAACTTTAGTAGATTGCCATTAAAAAAATAACTGTAGCACTGGTTCAGTTTTGGTCTATGTCAGTAAAGCTGTCTACCTCCAAATAGAATAATAAGTGAAAGAGATGGGAGAATGTCTGGCGAGAGGTTGTGTTTTTCCAAAAGTTGTTGAAAAGACCTGTGTTAGACCAGTCATTTAATTGATTTACATGTTGGCAAATAAATTATAATGAAAATGGTTTGCAGTTAGTATGTGACACATGAAAACTTGGGTCACAAAAAAAAACACCATTAAAACAAGCATTACTCTGGAGGATTTTTGCAACCCAACTTTGAAACAAAAAAGTCACACATCTTTAGATCAAGAAAGTACCAGCCTCGTCTCATCCAACCAGCTCTCTGTAAGATGAAATGTGTGCAGTATGTGTGCTGTGTTCATAAAATGTTACTGAAACAAGACTTTCTATTGGGACGAACAAAAAGGTATTTAAAAAGTTAGGTACCCCAGCTGAAGGACGAAAAATGGCCAACTCAACACAACGTATAACACAACCTGCCACTTGGACAAATCTGACCAAAATAGTAATCATATAGTGTCCCCTGACGAACAAGTTTGGCAATATTCATTTCTACTGCCAAAGAGGGTTGAAGAGTGGCTGAAGACAAAGTTTAAATTCAAGAGAAGGAGAAAGACTGTACGGAGAAGATGGGCAGAACAGTGCATTATCTCCACGAGACGAGCACATATAATCCTCTGTAGAGCTTTGAAAAGTCTTCGCGTTCATAAATTCAGTCATCAGAGAGCAATCAGAGAGATCCATGTGATAATGGGACAAAACAACAGTTCGTCTTGAGAGTTGTGCCAGGAGTGTGAGTGCGGGGTTACAAGAATCGCCAGGTTAAAGCTAGGGGTGTGACAATATATACATTTTTCAATATATCGCGATACTTTCTCCCGCGATATGATTATCGATATGCATTTGCCAAGTATCGATATCAATTTTAAAAAGAAAAAAAAAATGGATTTTTCTTTTATTTATGCCATAAATTGGTATATTATATATTTCTAACCAATATATCGATAATCGTCATATCGTATTAAAATCGTTATCGTGATATTGTTATCGTGATATCGTTATCGTGATATCGTTATCGTGATATCGTTATTGTGAGCTTTGTATCGTGTATCGTATCATATCGTGAGGTACCCTTAGGTTCCCACCCCTAGTTAAAGCAAAAGTTCACATTTGTTTTCATTTGGAGCATTTCAAATGATCAAATGTAGTTGAACTTTAAAGACAAGAACAGTGATGTCAAGGCTACTCTGACTCGTCAAGTGACTCGGGGAGCTGTTGGTTGCATCTACATTTGTAAGCAATGTATAGAATTGAGCTGAAGTATAAGGTACATTCCAAAGAACAGGTTAGTACATTACTCGAATAACTTAAGTTGTAAATCACTGTGCACAGGTTGGCGCCGATACAAAACCCTTACTGTGTTTATCTTACAGTATAAAAGTAGTCTTTCAGGTACAGTCCTTAATGCCATTGGTCTGTATCTCCAGTGACATCGTTTGAAATCAGTGTGTCCTAATTCAGGCATGTCCAAACTCAGGCCCGGGGACCAATTGTGGCCCTCTGCCTTGCTAACCCAAAGTAGTTTTTGAGATCATAAACACAAGTTCACTGTGTCATCCACCCAACTTAACCTCAGCCAAAATAGACATGTTGTAACTTATAAGTACATCTGGAACTCAGTCGCTGAACTGGTGAGATGGTAAACATATCTCATTCAGCCAACTTCAGCTGAGTCGTAGATCATTTTAAAGCTTAGAACAGCCTGATGCCAGACAAGACAGTTTTTCAGTCTGTGACGGCCGCCCCCGGACTAGTCTGGTGAACTATAGTGACCCTCTTACTAAAATGTTTGGACACCCCTGTCTTAATTTGTCGACCCACAACGTCTTTTCTAAGCAACAATTCCCCCTGGCTCTTGTCTTTGTGGCTATCCACCTCTGTTTTCTAGCCGGCTTTCTGCATTGCGATATCCGTGAGTGCCATGTGACAGCGAGTCATCACGTCTTTTCGATTCTCACAGAAACACTGCCCTTGATTCGAGTTCCGTGGGCCCTGTCCGTCCTGGAGCCGCTCGCCCCCAAAACATGACGGATTGATGTCAAGATGTCACATGCAAATTGATTTAGAGCCCTCTCCGCGGCGGCCCAGGGAGGCATGGTAGAGTGATGGTTCAGACAATGCCGGCAGTAGCGGTGAGAATTATTGCAGAGACGCTTAACATCCATGAAGGACTAACAGGCAGAAGAGCGAGTGCAAAAGAATTGGAGGTTTTTGATTCAAGAAAGAAATACAATGTACTTTTTTTTAAGAGATAGTAACCATTTGTGCACTGGAGTTGTTTTTACACATTCATGTAAACCAAATAATCTGATATAATATATGTAGTAATTTAGAATGAGCGCAAATTTCACTGTCCCCAACACATCATCATAAACCCAACTCTACACTATACTCAGTAATTTTTAATTTTTTGGGAGTCTAGAAAAGTAGCACAGACTTTTTTATATTTAATTCCTATAATAATCCAGAAACAATTTTACATCCAGTAGATTTTAACGCTATCCTAAATGGACGTAAGTATGCTAATGGAATGCTGTTTTAGACTCGGCTACACCTTTCAAGCCCAACCGGTATAATACGCTATAAAATATTAATTGTTTTTTTATAGCTCGAGCAACTGGCAGATCAGCATATTTTTTATAATATGAAATATGAATAATAGCTCATATCATACGTTGGCG